AGAAATCAGTGATATTTTTATGGTATGTACTAAATCTAAAGAAAGCACTAAACTTTGCCAAAAGCATAGGTAATTGATGTCAGAACAATTTCTCTAAATATCTGGATTCGGCTTTTGTACTCCAGCATCAACTTTATTTTTTGCTTAAGATTCCATATTGGATTTTTGTACAGAAGTTTTTAATTCAAAAATGTATATGTCGTATATTGACATTGCCAAATCCTAGTTATTTCAAATAAACAGAATTTCCTAGGTATGCCTTGAAATGATCAAGTAGTCATTTGTTTCATATACTAGGTTATCGCAGATTATTTTTAATTTTTCTTGACTTTATTTGAGATGGCATTTCAAAATAAATTGAATGCTTTTATTGCCACTTTTTCTCCTCTGCACGTTGGAATATTGGAATTTGGTACATTTGAATGGTATTTTCGGTGATGTACATCCTTTAACGACCATTTAATGGCCATGCATTTGTAGTTTGAACAAAAATTATGGGGCAATAGAAATATACGGTCAATTCATGCACAGGGAGCATGAGACAGGTTTGAAGACTTCAAATTGAGAATGGTATCAAAGAAGATCGAGAAGAAGAGAAACAGTGAACAATGTACAGAGAAGAGTTAAGTTTTGCCTACAAAGGATTTGAACACCTGCTATAATTTACCTCTGCTTATTTATGATTATTGTTATTACCATCAATACAATTTTCATTTTGTGTACAGGTTTCACCGTACCTTTTAAGTTCCTTATAATTTTCGTTCCAACAACAAGCTCATGACCAACTAAAGGAGTACATACCTACGTCGCTGACTTTAGGAATAAAAAATCCATTTAGATATATAAAATTTCAATATAGTTTCATATGAAGAGGCGGAGTTGGTGACTGAAATCGAAAGAAGAAACCTCGAATTGAAAATTTGACTACATCATCTTAAAGAGGAGAAAATGCGGTAATATTGATGTTCAACTTATTTTGAAATCCCTTTACAAATAGAGTTAGAAAAAAATTAAAACGGTTTTGAGAAACTTTGTTGCTTTCTGTCTCTCTTCGGAAGTACTTTGAATCTCGAAGCTTTCTAAGTGACATTTTATTAGTTACCTAAATACGCAACTTTGCCTCATCTAAGCGACTTTGTATCTCTCACTGTTTCCGAGGTCACAATCGTGAGGTTTGAATTTGAAAAATTGAGGGAAGGCATTTATACTAGTTTAAGGATAGATATGGATCCTAATACAGACGGTGTATAAGAACAACTACATGAGACACAAGGAAATAGAAAGTAGCTCCATTACAGGTGATTAATAATATAAAATAATATTTCATCTTAAACATAAATTACTAAGGTTCGTGACAGTTTGGAGCTCAGAGCTATTCCAGACACTATAATACAACGGCAATTGTCCTTGTTTAGCATATAGATAAAATAGAAAAACATTTTTTTCATCATATTAAAGTATTCCAGATAATTAATGGCTCTGTTGTTTTGGAAAATAATACCTTATTGGCGTAATCTTTTTGACAGGATTGAAAGTATGTCAGACGCTACTTTCAATTAGTTAATGTATTTTATGGAGACCGAGTAGACATCCATCATCTTACGTAGTGAAGTTTGAAACTTGAAACTTCGCTAACAAATATTTTGAACTAAAAAATTGATTTTTAATTTAGGAGATCCTTCAGTAAACCAATAACAGATACAAACCATGTCCCATTGTTCAATAGTATCCAAAAGGTAAATAGCACACCACCAACCAATGAATCTTCACTACTACTAACCGCGATGCGTATCAACAATTCATCAGCAGAAAACTGAAAACGAAAAGAACTGTGAAAGCCTGGGCGGGTGTGAATCGGTATTTTTTACCGCGTCTGAAAGAAAAAGACGGTGGCATAGTCCCCCTTTTTATTCACACATGCGCCTTTCGTTGCGTATGGATTCAGTTCTTTCATTTTTGCCCTTTTATGCGGATGACCACAGACATTTCAGCGCTCTAGAAACCTTACCAAACAGGTTACAGGAAGATTAGTCAACTATCGGTACCGGTCGTTAATCGGGTACCACGCCCATTTGAGGCGCTAAATTTAAATATCATCGTTAATTAATCCTTGAGGGGGTCATGGCAACGAGGTAGGGATGACAAATTCGTAAAAAACAGTCATTCAGAGTAACCCGAGGATCCTAGCACTAAACTGATATCAAATACGCAACTACGCATCCGGTTTACCTAGAAGACAACTCCCATCCATATCATAGACGCGCAATAGTTTTTGAAGATTTCTTAGGCCCGTATCGTCAGTCATCCCTACAATTGTAGGGCGCGTTTATGGCCTCCTCGATTGTCATACTGCTTTCTCTCCTTCAAAAATTTCTAGATTACACTTGTCCCGTGTCAGCGTCAGCGCTCTCCTATTGTGAAAATATGTTTTCTTTTTAAATTGTAGGAAATTTCAGGCTGATAAAACATGATATAACTCAAAAGCAGGCGCAATTTGATGCAAATAGATGTTTGTGACATAACCTCAAAATAGAGCGCTGACACGGAGAAGTAGAAAACTATGACAATCAAGGAGGCCATAAAGGCGCCCTACAATTGTAGGGACGACTGACGATACGGGCCTTAGTGGTCGTTTTTTGATAAGTAGGATTCTTACTAGAAACTCTAAAACGGACTGCCGGACTGAATGAGCTCCGGAACTGGACTCAGTAACTAAAAAAACGTATTGTATGCATGGTCGGACTCGACTGATCCATCTTTGGCCATTTTTGCAAACACTTACCGACATGGAGGTCGACTTCCGAATACCAGAAAGTATTACCACTTCAGTTCTTTCAGGATCCAACTTCAAACCATTTTCTTCCATCCATATGTTGATATGTCATCATACTTTTCAATACAACTTCCTTCTTGCTTGTTATCACCATTGTCAGGTCGTCAGTAATCCTATGAAGACGATTCCTGATAACATATTAAGCCTTAAAACCTCATTATAGAACATGTTCCACAGAAGTGGCCCTGGAAAGGATCCCTGTGGAGCTCACATAATCCCTCTGGTCTCCCCGACTATCAGCGTCCTTTTATCGAAGTAGCTTTTATTCAGAATGAAGCTACTATTGTTTGTAACTTCAAGTAACGCCGGTGTTGATGTGCAGGCAAGGAGAAGTCATATTTCTATTTTACTACAAAACGTCAAAACTGACAATAATTTGAATTAAACATTGCTGGTCAAGTGGTAAGCAAAAAGACGGGTTGACACACAAATACGGTGGCAATAATCTCGTTGGAACTAAAAGATAGCTTAACAATCTTTACTCAGTTCGATATTGAATGGCATGCATGTTACTTTCATTGGCTTCAAGTCGTGCCAGTATGTACCTAAATCGGGAGTGCCTCAGGGCTCAAATCTTGGTCATTTATTGTTTACCTTATTTATTGATGATTGCGCAATATTTAAGTTGTAATTAACTTCTCTTTGTGGATGATTTGAAATTATTGAGGATTCTCGATGCCGAGGCTAATTCTACTGCACTTCAACGGGATGCTTTAGTAGCTTGGTGTGACGAGAATACTATATTTCTTAATGCGTCTAAGTGTAGTGTAGTAAGCTTTTCCAGGAAAACTTCTGTTTGCAAATTTAATTACAAGATTGAATTTTTGACCATAAACTTTTTTTACTACAAATAGCTCAAAAGGTGAGTGAATCTTCACGGGCGTATGGTTCTATTGTGTAAAACTGTAGAAGCTTCGTCACAAAAATTAAAGTGATTTAGATGCGGTTTAAATGATCTCTGTCTTTCTTATTTTGGGTGGCTAGAACCGAATCCAAAGTGATTTCACATGTATCTGATAAGTTTTAACATTTTTCTTCGAAACATAATTTGTAAAGTTCGAGATACAAGGTTGATTCGTGAAATTTTGTGACAAAACTGTGACGTAACAGATTCTTACAGGACATGATAACCCTTCCCAGGCTCTGATGATTAAAATATGACCCTACACCTGCAAGGAGGTTAGGTTGTCATCCGACGTGAGAAAAATAACTTTTACTATCTGGCATTGATGCCCGGTTGCACCTGGTCTCTTGACCCTACTGCGAAAGGCAAACCGATTTGATGGAATCCTTGCTAAAGCTGAAGTTGCACTTGACAACAGTGCAACTCTAGTAACTTTTTTGGAAAATTTCATCGGCAACTATATTAGTTTACTCCAAAGGTATATCTGAAAAAATCTCTACAAACCACAAAGGCTTTCGTGTTTTGTATACTTTTTGTGGAATACGAGGGATGTCTTTTAAGTTTTGCATATAGAAACATAGTAGGCCGCGCGGATCGAACTTCAGTACTGAATCTAAACCTCACTTTTTAGTAAACTTAAATTCAAAGTTTCACGACAATACGTGCAGTGTTCTCACTACAGTGAATTTTTAAGTGTCACCAAGTCATTAGAAAAATGGAACTCACCCGAGAACATTTTCGCGCCAAAATTTATTACTTACAACTTTCAGAGACAATTATCGCAACAAGAATGCTTTGCTGAGTTACTGTCTGTTTTCGGCAACGAAGCGCCACATGAGTCGTCAATTTCCAGTTGGTATGGAGAATTCAAACGTGGATTAGCGACGATCGCAGGGTGGGTGCACCAAAAACGGCAGTCACACAGGAAAGCGTCGATGCTGTGCGCAAACTCATCATTGAAGATAGACATGTGACATATCACGAGATTGAGGCGTCCTTGAAGATCTCAAAGACCTCAATTAAAAAAAAATTACATGAAGAATTAGGAGTAAGAAAATTAGTTTCTCGTTGGATACCCCACATGTTGACTGAAGAGCAGAAAGCAGCCAGGGTTAATTGGTGTCAAAAAACGCTTGATCGTTTCAATTCCGGAAACTCAAAAAATGTGTACAGCATTGCTGGTGGTGATGAATCATGGATTTACTGTTATGAACAAGAGAATAAACGACAGTCGGCTGTTTGGGTGTTAAAAGGTGAAGAAAAGCCAACAAAAGTCATCCATTCTCGAAGTGTTTCGAAAAAGATGGTCGCGACATTTGTGTCAAAAGCAGGTCATATTGCAACAATTCCTCTTAATGAGCAAAGAACTGTTACTGCGGATTGGTATACCACCATTTGTTTACCAAAAGTCGTCACCGATCTTCGAAAAATCAACCCCGAAAGAAGAATCATCCTCCACCAAGACAATGCAAGCTCGCAAGCCTAAAAAACAAGGCAGTATTTAACGGAAGAAAACGTTGAATTATTGAACCATCCTCCATATAGTCCCGATCTAAGTCCTAACGATTTCTTTACTTTCCCAAAAATTAAAAACAGACTGCGTGGTCAAAGGTTCCAGTCACCAGAAGGAGCAGTTGACGCATTCAAAAATGCCGTTTCGGATCTGCCAGCAAACGAGTGGAATAAGTGCTTCGAAAATTTGTTGGAGCGCATGCAGATGTGTATTAATCTTCGTGGAGAATACTTCGAAAAGCAATAAAGTCATTTAAAACTACCTACCATATGCAAAACTTAAAAGACATCCCTCGTACAAAACATGAAATAATTGGTCAAAGCCAAATAGGAACAGATGCTCAACTAATGGTTTCACATTTTAAGAGGTGTGACTCATCGACCCATCAAAAAAGGGATATAATCATGCGACATCAACAGTACTTATTACAAAGATGGCACCAGTGCAGTACTGCCGAAAAAAAAAACAACTATACTATTGCTCCACAGATGGCGTCAGCAGCCCTCAGTAAAAAGGTAGTTATAGAAAGCATGCTTATAGTAATAGGTAATATATTTATTACGATGGAAGAACACTGGCTATAACTATTGCGCTGTCTGGGGAAGTTGCAAGTTCTTTGGCTTCCGTCCTCATCGTTGGCTTTTTCTGCTGGCGCGGCGGCACAGTGCAAGAAAGAGAGATGAAATATTGCTCGCGCTGTCCATAGGGAATGGACGGAGGAGGACCGCTGCGGCACGGACTCCGGACCAAAGCCCGGAACATATCGAGGTTTAGCAGCTCTGGATATACAGGGAATGTTCAGAGACTAAATGGAAGGATCGTAGCTTTTTGTCGTTTTCAAAAGCCTGCTGTAGGTATAAAAGGCGAATGTTAGTACTATTTTTACTTGAAATACCAGGGCTGCGTTCATGAGTTTGTGTAGAGGTCGGTGAGACTAGGTTAGGTAGGTGTGGAGGTTGGGTTAGGTTATTATATTGCGATGAACGGATAAGCCTGTAGTGTTGAGTAATGTGAAGTTTATGATGAGAAGCGGTACATTATCGATAACTTGCATACCCAGTTGATATTTCTATAACTTCTTGATTGACGGACTTCCGAAAAATGGAGCAAGTTCTAGGATTCACCATTTCTTCGCCTGCAAAAGAGCAATTTGTTAAAATGGTCAACAAACCTATTTTTACGTGAAAATAATTTTAGGAATCTCATGCTGACGACGATGTGGCCAAGCCACAACAAAACTAGTTTTAGATAAAATTAATGCTATGTTAAGTCATGAAACGTCTATCATGAGGAAGTTAGCGCCAAATGAACCTGCGCATGTCGAGTATCTTTTACTGATGTCCGCTAGACTCAACAGCTTTGGATACACAGGGATCAGTTGAATCTCACGTACGCAAAATTGGAGTGTTAGAGATTGTTTTTCCTAATGCAAGTACAGCGGTCGAAGCTCAGTACATATTCTGGTATCACCAGGGGAGGGGGACAATGGTACAATCGCCCCTCAAGGCCTCAGACTTGGGTAACAAGTCCACATCGTTCTTTGTTTGAAAACTTGACTTAAAGTAAATGTACATTCTGTTTGTTATTTACTTTCTTATTACTTCATAATAAGCTCAAACGGCTTCCTGCTCACACTACTTGATCCATTTTTTGCGTTTTCAAAGGCTTTTAGAAGCATTACGGGAAATCAGTACCGCAGCCGTCTTGTGTGTAATTGAGCCACATCACAGAAAAAATAGGAATGACGCATCACATACAAAACATTCTCGCTCTGATATGCGCTTGTTTGTATTTCCTACTTGATATCGTAAAATGAATTTCAATAAAATTTTAATGACTGTAAATAAAAATTCATGTGAACTCTGATAACTCTGTTTCGTATTCCCGTATGTACCATATTTTCACACCTATTAGTTTTAATATACTTCACCAATCAGGGATTTTCTTTTCTTATCGCTCTCTTGTTTGAGATCCAGCAAATTTGCATATGCAATTTGCACCTCCAGCAGTGCCATCTATGAAGCAGATGTTACGTCACATCAAAGCCAAACATTGATAGATGAAGCATCATGACGTTCAGGCAACACGTACAGCTACGGAACGAGTACTCAATAAGTGTAGAACAGCTAGTGCTGCGTTGATATCTAGTAGCAAGGCCTACATAATTCTATATAATGCCAAAAAACCGACATAATGTCACTTTTCATGCCCCTGCCGAGCGACGTAACTTTCTGCTTATTGAATTCAACAAAAATGAGACAGGAATTAGAGCAGAAGTAGAAGGATCGGTAACTCTCTGTTTTTCCTTCTAAGTTTCCGCAAGGCTTCTTGCCTTTTTTGTAGTATTTTTTCTAAACACACGTATAGATACCAACTCCACCGATGGAAATTATTTAAAGAAACGACTTTGTACATGTTACATGTACATTTGATGATGCATTTGAGTGTACCTAGGCTCGCCTCAATATCTTAATCTGTTTCCATAAATTCTAGTATAAGTATGAGTTTTTGCTATTTGAATATGTGTGATTTACCTTAAATAGTTTGAATTGTAAGACAAGTTAGTTCTTATACGGGATTAAAAAGTATGAGTACGTTTCCCACAAATTGAAGGAATCGAATTGGCTAAACATGGAGAAAAGATTGCGCTTATATGATCTCTGCTTATTTCACAAGATACTGTATTATGTCATTTCGCGCAGATGTACGTAATGTTGACACGAAACACCTAATCAATATACCATCTCACAGGACACTTCTTTTTGAAAGAAGCTTCTTTACAACTGCTAGATACTATAATGATCTTCCTTATTATCTTAAATCATGCAATCCACATAAATTTAAGAAACTGGTTTCGGATCACTCTATTGTAACGGTTTCACCGTCCGATCGTATTTATTAAATCACTTCTCGATTATCATTTCATTAATCCCATCTCTAGCTTTTTTGCTTGGAAAATTTTCCGCTTGGAGCGCTTGATGCGGAGTTCCTGATCTGCGATCTTCCTCGCGCTTCTTTTTCACTTGAGCCGCCGATCGAACAACGGCTAGAAATTTCTTCTCAGTAGCACCAGGTTATATAGCACCATGTGCTAGAATTTTCCAGAATGTGTGTCCGTATAGGACAAAAATGATTGGGGCCACCCCCTTTCTCTTTCCCTTTCACTTTGCCTAGCCTTGGCCAATATTTTCACCCATGCATGTACCTTGGCAGCGCCATCGCCTTTAACTTCGCCTACAACTGGTTGTGAAGCCACTATATGGAGGTCACCCCTCATAACTGGGACCTCTCCTTCAAACCCCTGGCCATCCTGGCTTCAGTCGAGTCAAAATGGACCAGCAAAAGATAAGTCGATAGCGTTAAAAACTTATTTTGTTATTTTTGTAAAATTCTAATGTAATGAAAATGCCTTTTTTTTTTGTTAAATAAAATCTGTTAAATTTTTGTGTTCTGTTTGTTCTTCTATCCTCTAGCCATGCCATGGTCGACACACAGCTGCACGCCTGTAGATGTCTTCATGCCACCGACTGAGCTACCGGAAGCTAATTGTAACCCCCTTTCTGTGATTGTGCAGAAAAGTTGGAATCTTCATTGCATTCCATCTTTTCTGGACTTTTTTCGGAAAGGAAGAGTTACATAAATTGGCACCCGCAACGTGAGGCTTCGATAGGTGTTTGGCTTTGTCGACAAGTGGTTTGCTAGTGGAAGATTGGCAGACAGAACATAGTTTTCAAAATTCTTTACAATCTTTGGCAGCATTTCTATTTTTAATTGCTTTTGCTACTCAAATTTCTAATTCTTTAATCATCCTTACTTTTTGCTTAATGTTTAAAATTTTTTATCAGAAGATTAAAATTTTTCCACCTGTTTATTTCATAGGCATACTATTAACTTTTAAATTGTCTTGTTTAGTAGTCAGCGAGATCATTGCCAGAATTTTTTTTTCTCACATACCACTACAGTACATATTTACTGCTGGGGACAGTTATAACTTTTTTCTCATTGTAGTTTTGAGATTGATGATATTTTGATAATTTTTGTTGTTGAATATTGATAGTCTGGGGACTTTAGGTTTCCCAGCATTTTTGTCGAATATCATCAAACTTTTGATTGAGGTTGTGACTATTGTTGTTGATAGTTTATATATTCTTATATGCTTTTCATTTTTGATCACTAACCTCTTAGTTTTTGAAAGTATTTCTTCATGTGCAGTTTTTTTGATTTCTTGAGACTTTTCATGTATGCATATATAGCCTAATTGTTGGATCTCTGGTGTACTGATATAGCTCTCATGATGTTTGGTACGTAGGAAATTTACTTTCATAATTATTTTTGCCTTCCCCAAATGTATTTACTTTTTGAATTTTTGACTGTACTTGAACTTTTGATCATTTGTTTTCATTCTGATGGCAATAATCTACTGACTAGAGTTATCTGGAGTAAATCATTTTGCGATTTATCCATTTTTCTGAATTATATGAAATTGATATTCATAATTTTTCGTATATTTTGGCGGTTTACTTTTTTTCAAGTATTGACACTTTGACATAGTGCGTTGATACATTTTTTTTTTTTCAAGAAACAAATGATGTTTTTCTTGACTATATTTTTGCTACTTTTCAATGGGGGGGTGACTCCTAAATCATTTTTACCTATACAAAGACACACATACTCATTTATGATAATTAAACTTCAACTTGTTGTTGAAATAGTATACGTTCCTCAGTAACTATTGTAGTAATTTTGTCTCTTGTTTGGAGCAAAAGTTTTCATAATTTTAATGTTTTATAGTTTTATCTGGCATATTCTTTGGGGGAAATTAGAACATTAGTGTCTGATTTTCCATTGGATTAACAGGACTTGAACGTCTCTGTACTCTTTTAATGTATGTCAGATATAAAATAATTTTTTTTAAGATTCGGCTGCTCCTGTTTTTGTATTGAAACTTTTTGTTTGTATTGTTAGTTTTTTATAGTGTTTTAGATCCTTGTCATTTCTTGACGTATTCAGGTTTTTAACTTTAATTTTTTTCTTTCAAGTGTTTCTTTGAGGTTTATTTCTCAATCATGGTTCAGTCTAGACTAAGCCCAAATGACTTATTAAGTCATGAACTCCACTACGAGATTCATATCAGAGGTTTGGAAGTCCCTAATACCGTGGAGGATAAACGTAAAGTTTTACGTGGCTTATTAGCACAGGA